AAAACGACTGCTATAAATTCAACCTAATTTTGTAGTGTAGACGTACCCTGTTGCTGGGCTGGTTTGCCCTTTTGAATTTGCAAGCTTCCTGAGTATGTTGTCCTGGGTGCTAACTTTGCCTCTTTTCTTCTCCATGTGTACCTTGAAGGAGAGAGTGAAGTCTAGTGTCACCCCAAGGTAGACAGGTGAACAAGTGATATCCCAGTGAACAAGTGATATCCCATTCCAGATGATGTTACATTGTTTATCGGCCTCATGATTCCAAAGTTGGAAGAGACTTGCTTGCATTTTGGCTGGGTTAGCATATAGTTGGTTCTTGGGGTAATAGACTGAGAGCCCAGACGGTGCCAAAGTTAGCGTAGTTTCAATTTGGGCAAGATCCTTGGCATGGGCAGTGATGCATGGATCGATAGACTAGATAAAACTTGTGCTGAGATGGATTGGTTGATCATGGATGTAGATGTTGAAATGTACTGGTGAGAGTACACACCCTTTTGGTAGGCCATTTTTCTGTTGCTGCCATTGGTTCTCCTTCCCACACAGTTCAATGTAAAACATCAGTGCTCCGGTAGAGGTTGTATCAGTGGTATGAAGCAGTGATCTTTCATCATGTTGTATACTTTAGTGAGGAGCCTTCAGTGATTCACTGTGCCATATGCTGCTGATAGGTCGACAAACACAGTGCCTGTTACCATACCCTTTTCAAAGCCAACTTTGATGTACTGAATGATATTCAGCACTTGACCAGTGCATTAATTGCCTGGTGGAATCCAGCTTGCTCATGTTTTTCTTGAATGGTGATAGGTGGTTTAGGATGAGAGACGCTCGTACAGTTTGTAGAAATAACATAGTTGTGATATAGGCCTGAAGTTCTTTGGCTCCATTGCATTCTTCCCCGGCTTCAGGAGTGTCACAATATGTGCTCGTCGCCAGATTCTTAAGTATAAAATTACAACCATGTAATAAATGGGTATACACGGCTGAGTTCCCTCTGGTGCTGTAACTATGCCAGGAGAATTTAACATAACAACCAACCATCCTCTACCTTGGTACAATTGATCAACTGGCCTATGGCAAGATGTAAGTGTGTATATCTAAAAACTGACGACAGCTAACATGGTTATAGGTTAGCCCAGCGGTCTAATGGCTGTTCTGTACACCCCGACTCAGAGACAAGGGCTCAGCTGCTGGAAGCACTGCTGAGATAGCATGCTCAGCTCTGGGGAGTAGAGAAATGGTTTGCATGACTCAATAGCATATGCATCCCCTTTAATCTAATGAATACTAGTAGTGAAGAATCAGGGGGTAGCCGTGTTAGTCTGTATTCACAAAAACAACAAGGAGTCCGGTGGCAAAATAAAGACTAACATATTTATTTGGGCATAAACTTTCGTGGGTAAAAAACCACTTCTTCAGATGCATGGAATGAAAATTACAGATGCAGGCATTATATAATGACTCATGAAGAGAAGGGAGTTACCTCACAAGTGGAGAACCAGTGTTGACAGGGCCAATTCGATCAGGGTGGATGTAGTCCACTCCCAACAGTAGATGAGGAGGTGTCAATTCCAGGAGAGGCAAAGCTGCTTTTGTAATGAGCCAGCCGCTCTCCGTCCCTATTCAAGCCCAAATTAATGGTGTTAAATTTGCAAATGAATTTTGCAGAACTTCTCTTCATGTGTCATTATATAAAGCCTGCATCTGTAATTTTCACTCCATGCATCTGAAGAAGTGGTTTTTTACCCACGAAAGCTTATGCCCAAATAAATCTGTTAGTCTTTAAGGTGCCACCAAATTCCTTGTTGTTTTAGTAGTGAAGAGACTCCTGTCTAGTAATCCTTGGCTCAGCTGGACGGTCAGTGGCTGTGACATGGTGCTTTGAGGGTTGAGTGTTAAATCATTGAAAATTAGGGGGTGTCAGGTTTTAACAAGGATGCAAGTGGGACTCCACATCTTGCAGAAACAAAAGGGAGAGAAAAATGTGATGCTGACAGGCTGGAATTTTGCCCCCTTTTGCTAATGCAAACCACGCATAAAATAAGAAAAATCAAAGGTGCTTTTGGAACTACATCTGCTGCACACATTCCCTTCCAAGCACAACATCATAAACACAGATAAAGGGATTCTTTGTGTCAGCATCTCTATGTGAAAATCATCACTTCACCATTATCAGAAGGACCATGGGCACATCTGAAGGAGGGCTAAAATTCCCTTCCCTCTGACTCAAATTGTAGCCCAGTTAGAAAACATTTCAATAAAGAAAGAAAGAAATCTACTGCAGCCTACAAGATCTGTATCAAGCCTTCTTACAACTACAATACCCACCTGCGGAAGTGAAGAAACAGATTGATAGAGCCAGAAGAGTACCCAGAAGTCACCTACTACAGGACAGGCCCAACAAAGAAAATAACAGAACGCCACTAGCCGTCACCTTCAGCCCCCAACTAAAACCCCTCCAACGCATCATCAAGGATCTACAACCTATCCTGAAGGACAACCCATCACTCTCACAGATCTTGGGAGACAGGCCAGTCCTTGCCTACAGACAGCCCCCCAGCCTGAAGCAAATACTCACCAGCAACCACACACCACACTACAGAACCACTAACCCAGGAACCTATCCTTGCAACAATGCCCGTTGCCAACTGTGTCCACATATCTATTCATGGGACACCATCATAGGGCCTAATCACATCAGCCACACTATCAGAGGCTCGTTCACCTGCACATATACCAATGTGATATATGCCATCATGTGCCAGCAATGCCCCTCTGCCATGTACATTGGTCAAACTGGACAGTCTCTACGTAAAAGAATAAATGGACACAAATCAGATGTCAAGAATTATAACATTCACAAACCAGTCGGAGAACACTTCAGTCTCTCTGGTCACTCAATTTCTGACCTAAAAGTGGCTATTCTTCAACAAAAAGACTTCAGAAACAGACTCCAACAAGAGACTGCTGAATTGGAATTAATTTGCAAATTGGATACAATTAACTTAGGCTTGAATAGAGACTGGGAGTGGTTGAGTCATTACACAAATAAAACTATTTCCCCTTGTTTATTCCCCTTGTTTATCACTACAAAGGGTTCCCCCCCACCCCACTCTCCAGCTGGTAATAGCTCATCTTAAGTGATCACTCTCCTTACAGTGTGCATGATAAACACCCATTTTTTCATGTTCTGTGTGTATATAAATCTCTTCACTGTATTTTCCACTGAATGCATCCAATGAAGTGAGCTGTTGCTCACGAAAGCTTATGCTCAAATAAATTGGTTAGTCTCTAAGGTGCCACAAGTACTCCTTTTCTTTTTGCGAATACAGACTAACACGGCTGCTACTCTGAAACCTATAAAGAGTTCTATTGAGTTCTTCAGGCCCGTAAAACTGAACATTCTAAATGGATAAGAGCTCTCAAAGTCCATTACAATAAGCCTCCTAGATAATAAATAATTACTAACATTGAACTATGGTACAAATAAAACTGTAGCGGGGACATTCAATGAAAGCAAAAAACTGCAAATTTAAAACTAATAAAAGGAAATATTTTTTCACACAATGCATAATTATCCTGTGGAACTCAATATATTACTGAGGCAAGCATTTAACAGGATTTAAAAAACTGGGTATTTATATTGATAACAAATACATCCAGATTTATATTACTAATGATAAAACCAATATCTGGGAAGGGATATAAACCCTCATGTTTCAAGGCATAAGGCAACCTCTAACTAAAGGAAGTTAAGAAGAAATTTTCCCTGTGCACAATTATCCTGTTCCTGCCCATTGCAAGGTTTCTTCACCTTCCTCTGAAGCTTCTGGATCCAGCCATGGTTAGAGACAGGATAGTGGATTAGAAGTACCACTGCCCCCTACTGGACAGAATCAGAACTGCTCAGCTGTGTGTCAGCCCCTGAAATGCTAATCTTCCTTTCTCTCAAGTGGTAGATGCATGTGCTTTTAAAATAGGTGGGGTCTGAGTTCTATCCATGAAGTTCTGAACAGCCACAGTATGCAGCACTGGGACAAATGTCAATTCATTCTGGTAGGTGGTGGCCCTCAAAGGCAACAGAAGGAGTCCCCTTGTTATCCTCCCTCTGTTCTTAGTCCAAGCACTAAATGCCTTGTCTGTCTGTCTTTCCTACTCAGGAGGGAGTGACTCATGCCGCAGCCAATGGGAGCTGCAGGGGTGGTGCCTGTGGACAGGGCAGCATGCAGAGCCACCTGGACGCACCTCTGTGTAGGAGCCAGAGGGGGGAACATGCCGCTGTTTCTGGGAGCTGCTTGAGGTAAGCACTGCCTGGAGCCTGCCCCTCTCCCACGCCTCAACCCCCTGCCCCAGCCCTGATCCCCCTCTCGCCCCCTGAACCCCTCAATCCCAGCCCAGAGCACCCTCCTACACCCTCAACTCCTCATCCCCGGCCCAACCCCAGAGCACGCACCCCAACCCCCAATTTTGTGAGCATTCATGGCCCGCCATACAATTTCCGTACCTAGATATGGCCCTTGGGCCAAAAAGTTTGCCCACCCCTGCTCTAACCATAGGGCTACTTAGCCCAAAGTACACATGTTAGAAGTGAAAACTATACAGCAGACATTTCTGTTGTTCCTCACTGCCCTCTATATGCAAAAGGCCCCTAAGTAAAGTTCAGTAGCTTACAAATGCAAATACACAATAAACACACAAAGGCTTAGTGAAATTAAAAGGAAAAGGGGGAAAAGCAGCATGCATAGAAACAATCAGGAGCATGAAAAGGAAATGTCATCAAGGATTATGAACAAGGTTCATCCCCAAAGGATTGGAGTACATTACTAGCACATGTGTTTTCTGACTTGAAGTTTAGAGAAGGGTAGGTGGGAAATAATTACATCAGGAATACTAAACAAGAACTCTCCTCCCACCCCCGATTCCCTGAAATAAAAACCCAACCCCAAAACAACAATACACAGATCAATTCAAACATGACCTGCTCCAACATGTTTAAAACATACCCATGGTGGCAGAGAATATCACAATCCCCAGCACGTTCATGCCATCGCTGGTGCCTGGCTCAGATTTGTAAATCACTTCTGGAGGGGGAGTGATATCCAGGGCAAAATTCTGGACATTGGATCCATTCTCATCCTGGACCCCATATATTATGATCCGACGAGTGGTGCTTTCAGAAGCTGCCTTGTTGGATTTGACGATAGGAATGCTCTTGGTGCGATACTGAAAGAACACAGAATATTATAGTGGGTCATGAGGGACTAAAGGGTTAATGAGTCCCCAGATTGCTTTAATGGGCTCCAAAGTGCCTTGTGAAAGGAGAATGGCTATTAAAGAAGGAAGGGGCATGTGTGGAAGAAAGAGAACCAGCTCCCCCTCCTCCCAAGCTACTGGAAAAACAACTCTGATCCTTTTTTTGTAAAAATCTGACAAAATCAGGAACTCCCCCAAGCAGAACTTCAGGCAGCAGACATATCGAACCCTGCTAGGGCATTTCTCTATATTCACTCTTCTCATGTGTAACTAGGAATAACTCCCTCAAATGCTAATCAGTGACTTTTCCTTTGTCCCACCAAAGGTAAGGATTCCATGCAATATATCCCATTTGAAAGGGATTACACCCAAGCATTCCTCTTACTTAACCTGCTCAAAGCTTTTAGATAAAGTGTCCTGCCCAAACTTCAGTTTGGGTAATTAGGTTCTGCCTAAATAAATTCCCACATTGCTTTAACTGGATACAGCATCCTTCTTCACTTCCTTTTGTGTAATCTTGCTGTGTGTTCTTAAATACCTTCCACCTGCCGGATGACTGCATTTCAGTGGTGGGGAAAGTGATTCTATTGCCACATGGTTTACTTAGTAAAGTTCTCTGCCCTTCCCTAATGCCATTCAGTGAGGGCCAGGATCACCAACAACATTGTTCAGTTTCAGATGTCATGTTTGCAGCCCTCTCAGAGAGCTCTTAGAGAACGGCACAGGCCTTCTGATTGATACATTTGTGGCTTAAGAGCCAACGTCAAATTAGTATCTTAGCTAATTTAGTCTGTTGTCTGGTAGCACAGAGCTGCCATCGGGGCACCTACACCACTTCCCTTCCTGGTCCCTGGTGTGTTCAAGAAAAGGGGGCATAGATGGGGGATCCCTGTGCCCTGATGATTCCTGATGAGGACCTTGTTGTCCCTAGGCTGTGGGAGGTGCAAAGGTGGCTTAAAGGTGCCTGTGCACCGCACTTCCTGAGGTGCAGTGAGCACTCCTCAGCCAGAACTTGGGGTCTGGGCCAATGTCTCTAATTAAGGAACAAATAAGGAATTATCCTGTGTACTCTCACACTCTCTCCCCCTGCCTTCCATATTCTTACATCCAATTTATTGGGCAGATCTCAAATCATTTTCACAGGGGACTAAGGATAATCAAAAATCCATGTTCCAGAGAACTAGGAAAGTGAGGTGAAATCAAGCAAAATGGGTGGAAAGGGCTAATACAAACTATTTCAAACTTTTCCTCACCAAAATGACTAAATATCAAAACAGCACGAGCAGCTCTGATTTATAGGATGATATGACGCTACTTTCTGAACCAAAGACACATCTCACGAACATAGGTATTTTAAAAAATATTACCGTTTAAGTCACGTAGGAGCCTACTAAGTGATGTAGACACTTTTGAGAATTTTACCCATATCAACCCTAACATCAACAGGATTGTGTCCTTCTTACATTTTTGTTACAAGTCCACTCACAAGCAAACACATGACACCATCAGCATTCCAGCCTTTTAGTACCATGGCAACACTGCATTACCACCTGGTGCAGAACATATGATAGCAACACATTAGTATGTACCTAGTCACTAGGTGCCATAGCCACTTGTGACTGCTCCAGGCTCCATTATTGTGATTTACATACATCAATATTTTAGTCTAGACCTGTCCATAGATCATATGCAGTGCTTGTTGGATATTAGTTATTTAAGGCCTGAACCTCAGAAGTGCAGAGTTCTTGCAACAGCTATTGAAGATACAGATCAAGCGCTGTATGATTTGTATTGTGCCCATCAAAATACTGTATGGAAGCATTTTAAAAAAATTAAAAACATGAAGGAATCTGTTGCCAAATAACTGGCAACAAAACAAACCCATGCCTGACTCCCACTCCAATTCCCAATCATTGGCAAAATAGGTAACCCTTCCAGCTACTTTCTCCTCTAACCTAAAAACAAGTGATTATTAAAATAGCTGAATGATTCTGATTTCACTCCTGTATTGCAAAGTGTTTAATCATTATGGGCCTAACACAAAGCCACTGAAGTCAGTGGAAAAACTCTCATTGACTTGAAAGGGATTCGCATCAGATGCCACTGAAGGTACCGAGTATATATGAACCAATATACAGTACCAGAATACTTCTAACAAATCTCAATTTTTGCTTAAAAATTTTCACTGCATGTATTATCTGAAGATGGCTTCTCTGTAGCATCAATGCAGACACTCACCTGTTTGAATGTGGCCTCAACAAGGTTGGCTGGAAACATGTTCCTGGAAAGAAATAGATAAAAGAATCATTGTTAAAGGGCTATTTAGTTACCCTTGTTGGTCCTCAGTGTCCACTACCTTCCCCCTTGTGTAGTCACCTGTGCAAAGTCGGTGCCCAGAGGATAGAAAAGACTCTGATCTCATAGCATTTCCTGCTCACTCTGCATGGGTGTAAATAGCTACAGAAGGCATAACAGTGGAGAACCAAGTCCACCAAGTTTAAAGTAGAGGTTTAAGGACACAATTCTGAACATCTTGTGTGGGATTCAGCAGATCTGGATTCAATTCTTGACTCTGCCACAGACTCCTTGTATAACCTGCAGCAACTCACTCAGACTCTTTCTGGTTCAGTTCCCCATCTCCTAGATGGGAATAATTATAGAATCATAGGACTGAAAGGGACCTTGAGAGGTCATCTAGTCCAGTCCCCTACACTCATGGCAGGACTAAGTATTATCTAGACCATTCCTGACAGGTGTTTCTCCAACCTGCTCTTAAAAATCCCCAATTATGGAGATTCCACAACCTCCCTAGGCAATTTATTCCAGTGCTTAACCACCCTGACAATTAGGAAGGTTTTTCTAATGTCCAATCTAAACTGTCCTTGCTGCAATTTAAGCCCATTGCTTCTAATCCTATCCTCAGAGGTCAAGGAGAACATTTTTTCTCCCTCCTCCTTGTAACAATCTTTTATGTACTTGAATTATCATGTCCCCTCTCAGTCTTTTCTTCTCCAGACGAAAGAAACCCAATTTTTTCACTCTTTCCTCATAGGTCATTTTCTAAACCTTTAATCGTTTTTTTGCTCTTCTCTGGACTTTCTCCAATTTGTCCCCATCTTTCCTGAAAGGTGGCACCCAGAACAGGACACAGTACTTCAGTTGAGGCGTAATCAACATGGAGTAGAATGAAAGAATTACTTCTTGTGTCTTGCTTACAACACTCCTGCTAATACATCCCAGAATGATATTTACTTTTTTTTGCAACTGTGTTATACTGTTGACTCATATTTAATAATCTAATAATAATATTTCCTTTCTCCCATTCCTGTTATGTCTTTTTAGATTGTAAGCTTTTCAGGAGAGCACCTAGCACAGTGGAGCCCTCAATCTACTTCTGGGCTTCTAAGCACTACTATAATACATATAATAATGATTAATAATAGTTAATAATAGTACTTTCTGCCATGCTTCTGTCAATCCCATTATGATTATAAGTGGGCTAGGCTCTGAAGTCTGTGCCCTTTACCTAGAACAGACTGCTTTTCAGAAAGAGGATCTGATTCCTGATTAAAAGAATCTAGACCAGAGCTGCACAATCTCTTAGAAATGGTCACTATTTTAATGTTTATGGGCTTTTCCAGGGGCAGAAAATTAGTGTCTTTTGGAAAAATGCTAATTAGGAGTTTCACCCTCTACCACTGCTGAGCGAGCACGAGCAAAACAGAGACCTCATGCTTATGGCCTCAGAGTGAGATTCATAGATTTTTAACTCTCGAAGGGACCATTATTATCATTGCTCTGACTTCCCAGGTAATGTGGTCATAGAATCTTACTCACTAATTTCTGCATCGAGTCCATATCCTCTGAGCTAGACAATATCTTTTAGAAAGACTTCTCGTTTTAAGTAAAGAAGAAAAGAATGCCCTCTCCAGGCTCCAGTGAGAATTCTATTTCTGGGCAAAAGGACCACTAAATCAAGAACTTAACACCGGGGAACAAAAAATTCCCAGGAATTTTAAAATGTGGCAAGATTATTTTTTAAATGGATTTCTTTTCATCCTGAAACTTATAAGCCTAAATTGAGCAATACTCTAGCATAATCTTATGCATTCATGTTCAGTTTGTATGAAAATATGTGGCTGTAATGCTCACTAAACAAAGGACTTCTCCGTTGAAAGTCCATCTCAATCCCCAAGTCAGGAGAGCACTTAAGTGCATGTGCACTGTCCATCCCTACTCAGTAGTAGGGTGACCAGATAGCAACCGTGAACAAAATGGGATGGGGAGTGGGGGGTGGTAATAGGCACCTATATAAGAAAAAGTCCCGAAAAACAGGACTGTCCCTATAAAAATGGGACATCTGATCACCCTACTCAGGAGAGTGCTCATGCATGTGCATTTTTAACTGCTGTCCTGAACAGGGATGTTTTCCTGAATTGAGGCCACTGTGCAATAGAGCATGCCTGCTATTTGGTAGGGTTACAATCAGAACATTCTGTGTCTCATTAGTGTAGGAAAAACATCTTCCAGGCTTTAGACTCCCACTGTTTTACAGATGAGGGACACTTTAATTTCAGTTTGAGTGCTTTATATTGGTTTAACTTAAGTCAATTCCTTATTGACTCAGTCACTGTTTATAACAGACAGTAGTCTATTGTAAGCAATAACGGTGATTGTAAATGCTGTGCTGCTGTCTTCTGTGAGTTTTCACCCCCAGTGATAACACAAAAGCCTGAATACTGAGATTTAGCATTTAGTTCTCTAGTCACCCCCATAAATACTTGTGAGTCTCTGTGGTCAAATATCCAGTATGAGCCTAAAACTGTGCAATATACAGACTACACCCAGCTGTATGTCACCTTTACATCAGATTGTGACAGTGCCTTATCCCAGCTCTCCAAGGGCCTGGCTGAGATCAGAAATTACTTGAAGAGTAGCTGCTGGAAACTGGATCTGGGAAAGGCTGGTGTGGGAGTAGTGGGGAGAGGGAAGCACTTAAAAGAACTCACCACCACCGTATTATTCCCTGCCTCCCCCAGTGAACGATTCTGCCCTAAGATTGTTAAGGACACTCTCTGTTAATTCATGTTAGTTTTGCAATTTGAGATGGTCTGATGAAAGGCGCTGTGTAAGTACAAAGTAGTCTCACTGTGATTAAATTATAATGTGCTGTGTGATGGAGAATTAATCTGCAAGGACAGATTCTCATTGAGGATTTTTATCCTTCTCTGAATATGAACCAAAGATATAGGCTGTAGCTTTCAGACTGTAATATGAATTGAATTAATAGTGCTTTCTGTCTCCTGCCTCAATACTGCAGCCCTAATTAATAGCATTAAGATCAAATTGAGACTGCTGGAGAAAGGAAATATCATGTTTAGTAGCTAGATTAAATGTTAGCTAAATTCATGGAGGATTAAATCATTTTATTTTTTAATAATTCTTTATCCTGCAGGAATTACAACTGGTCCTCATAATACTGTAGTCTGGAATTCTTCCAATATTATATAATATGTTGTCATCCATTCTGACCATTCTTTGAGACCAGCCTTGCTAAAGCCACCCAAATGATCTAGTGCAAGGGAGTTGATATGAATGTGTTTGCCAGAGCTTTGGCTTTTTTTTTTTAAGCTGCTTTACTTGGCTTGGGAAAATCCACTCTTAGCCAAAAGTTCAGCTTTCTTTATTAAAAAAAAATCAAAAGTACAATTCACAAAAGGTACATCTCATGGACTAATAAGGAATAATGCTAAGGAGTATATCACCAGGATGTATGGTCAGGGAAGATGAATGGGAGTTCGTTGGCTGGATCAGACCTCCGGAGAAACTCCATACAAACTCCTGCTTTTGGGACACATTCTACTACTGTACATTGAGATGTCTCAAATAGGGGGCAGGAAACTCTGCAAATTTATGCTTCTTAGGTCTCCTTGGAATCTTGTAATTGGGGAAGTAGGGTTTGAATTTTTTCAGCATGGAACTTCCAGAGGCTTCAATCTTCTGGGAGTGTCCCAAGAACTGCCTGTGATATCTGCAGAGGGCATGAGCATCCCTGGAGAGGCCAAGGGCTTCTACACAGCTCCCTTGCCACATGGCTTCCTGAGGGGCCATGCTGTCTGCCCCTCCTGGCTGAACCGAAATTCCCCCTTAAGGAAAGTTTACAGCTGCAGAGAGTTTAGTATAGCTCAGAGCCCCCAGCACTTTTATTTAACTCAACATATTACAAAATTTAAACTTATAAGATATCCCAACTTCTCAGTCTCTCAATGTGCGCTTTGCCTGTCTTTATGGCTCCAATACTGCAGTCTGATCCAAGGAGTCTTGCACCCCCGAGAGACTCATTGACTTCAGTGATAACTCTGCACAGGCATAACAATAAACCCATGTGGATCTTAATGTAGGATTGGGGCATCAGACTGCAGCCTCCTCAAGGCAGGGACTGTGTCTTTCAATATTACAAGCAGAATCAAACACCTTGTGAGTGCTTACCAAATAACAATTCATCACTCTGAGCGACTCATTCCTGTCTCCTACCATAAATGTTGCCGTGTTTATTAAATAAATAGAGCTAGATGCTTAAATTATTTCTAAAGTTCCCAGCATAACTCTTGGACTTCATGTACCACAGGTGGGCCATAAAAATAATAATACCAGAATCTTAAAGTGATGTGGGATTAAATTTTTTTTATAAGCAACCTTATCTATAAACTCAGTAGCATGATCTTGATGGAAAAAAATTTACATAATTTTTCTAGGTGTGTCATGTTTGGTACCATTGTATTTGTGGGAGAAAGGACTTTTGAATGATACCCAATTTGACCCATTTCCAACGACACTGTATTATCAACATTTGCACCAACCAGAGGACCTGCAGGTGGCAGCTGATGCGGGCAGTGAGTCCCCCCAGCTATCCCACAGAGGGTGACACCAATGAAATTCTGTAGATTTTTACAAATCAAATGGCACCTTCCTTATCTTTCTATCACTAACTTGCCCATGGAATGAGATTTTATTACATTACGCTCCCAGCCAAAATGGGCCAAATTCTGCTCTCTGTTCCACTGCTGAACGTTTGAAATAACTCCACTGACTCCTGGCTATACTGTAATTTCCTCACACTGGGCCAAATCCTGTGCTCAGTTGTATCACTGTAAATCCAAATAACTCCACTGGTGTCAGTGGGTTTAGTCTATATGTATATTAGTGAAAGTGAGGGTAGAATTGGGCCCACCATGATAAAATAAATCAGTCATTTCAGTGCCCATGGGAGGATGATAGTTG